TCGATCCTAACAGTCAGCCATTCTTAAATTGCGTGCAAAATGGCGGCCAAGGCGAGGAAAAGGATGGCGTATTTCAAAACATTATTCTTTACATCAAGATGCCGACGTAGCCGTCAGCGTTGTATGTCGAATATCATTGATACGTCAGCTTGTATCAATTTTGACTGCTAATTTTTCTCTTTTACACGGTACAATCGTCTAAAACGTTTACAATGTCCTCGGTAACGCCTTTGGAGAGCTCAGCAAAAGATCTGGTGGAGTTGACTCCAGTTTTTCGTGGTGGGGAGAACGAACAGCGAAAAGTTGCCGGGGTATGAGATTAGAAATTATCGCTAACGGCTGTCAGTAAACTTTGTATGAACTTGTTAGTTTGCAACACTCGCACGTCGATCAAAGGCGTACTTTAAAAGCCAAACACTAGAGACCACCAATGCTTACACGTAAAACCATTTAGCAAATTTTTACAAGACATTTAGCTGCAAACATTCAGAACATTCAAGTGTGTAAAATGTCTGGGTAACGTCTCTAAGAACACTGGAAGTTACAACTGAACTGCAAGACAACATCTTTACGTGCCTAACAAAATTCCTTATTTGCCAGGTGTGTGATTCAGAGCTATGCATGATGGCCCTACCTCCAGATGAACAACAGCTACTGACAAGAGTATCTCAGTATCTCCTTTGCAGAGGAATCATTCCTGTTGTGGTTAGGAGTCCCACTGAAGCACTCATACACAGCAGACATTCCCGGTTTGCTATCATCATTTTACCAGACAGTGATCCCACGTTGATCAGAAAAGTCAGGTCAGCAATGCCATTAATCCTAATCTCTTCAAAACTTGATTTGTCTAAAACTAAAAATATTATTGAAGGATTGACTATTGACCCTGTATAAAATCAAAGAAACAAAGACCTTCATAACAACAACAATTACAACAATCTTATTTTTTCATTTGTCTATTCACATTATTACAATTGGCCTGGCCTGCAGGTAGTTATATTTAGTAACCAAATAGTTTTGCTTTTCAGAACAGATTGGTTCTTAACAAGAGTCAAACCTCAATCTTCCAGTAATCATTTGGCTATTCTAACTCAGTGTTATGCAGTATGATTTTTTTTTTGTTTTTTTCAGGGTCTTAGCCAGAAAAAATATGATTGCAGCAAAGTCCATGAAAAAGTTATGACTGATGCAATGTCCGTGAAAAATTATGATAATTTGAGACAATGGTCATGGTTGAATTTAGATATTTAGGGTGTTTATGATGACTTTAAACATCAAAAATGAAAAGGCAAGTGCCTTGGTTTGCCCATCACTAGCTACAGCTCTGGTTGTATATATGAGCCCATCACCTGAATGCAGTTCTCAATCCAGTCAACTTATAATAAGATATGAGTTGTTCAAACAAAGCAAGAAGTAAACATTTTTTCCAGGTCAGTCAATGGAATGAATTGCCAAACACCTGTGATTGTCATATCATCAGCTGATATTTTACCAGGTTAGTAAGTGGAAATAACCATTTCCAGGGCTGATCCACGTGTAATTTCTTCCGTCAAAATCAACACACTGTGAAGTAGAGAGGTATTGAAATTGGAACAAATGTAATTATTCCCAAGAATAAGGATATGATTGTGTGACTTACTTATTGGTAAGGTTGTAAAGGTGTTTCTGAAAACACTAGACTTGCATACCATAAACTGCCACTTATAAGCCTTATACTTATACAACTTTGTAAGGGCTTTTAGATGGGCTTATAAATGGAGGGGCTTATATCCAAGGGGGCTTATGACTGAAATTAAAAAAAACTGTTTCGAAATGAGCTATTGCTGCACATTGATTGAAATAGGTTTTTCATTTACTGGTAAGTAAACTTTAAAACATCATAGTAAAATGAATTTAAAACAAGGAAAGCTTGAGGGAGGCTTATATCCAGAGGGGGGTGGGGCTTATAACTGGATGTATTTTTTGGCTTACAGGTAGATGGGCCTATAGAGGGGGTTATAAGTGGCAGTTTACGGTATTTAGGTTGGTCTGAAATATCTCAGCAGTTATCATTCTGGTGGAATATGATCTGCTAAGTAGCCATGATATTGGGATTCACCAAATGATAACCTGAGAAAAAATTGAGGTTTTAAATTCCTCACAAACTGTGAGGTTCTGGAGTCAACTATGTCATTCCATCACATGTAATTATGTGCCAAAATGGGGTGCAGTAGCTGTATGGTTTACTTGTTGTGGACTCTCCCTTAACCGTTCTTGATCCTGCAAAAAATATTTGCCTAATTTATTAGAAAATATTTCTCAATTATCCTGCATGTGGTCTTATGCATGTGCACGGAAGAGTCCTTCTACGTGTTTACTGTATTATTTTTGTAAAGTTCAAAGCCAGACAACCTATCTATGTCACCCAATATCTTTCTTCTGAAACAGAGAGCACCTTGCATATGTTGGGTACAAATGAAATCCATGAAGTGATCCATAGAACCTCCAATGCCGAAAAGCTTGAGACAGATTTGATAACTGCTCTCAGTCATATCATTGGGCAATCTGGTCATGGTGGTAAGTGCTATAATGATCATGGCAGCAGGTTAGAAATACTGACTGTCTGTAGTGCATGTCAGAAAAATTGTAAAAATTCATTGCTAGTTGTGAACTGAATGAATACAGATACACTCACTTTTACTTTTAATGACAGATCCCTCAATATGTGTTTGATATGGGTTTTGTATCTAGTTATTGTGTTGCCTTTGATTTTCCAGCCTAGCACTGGCATTTTAGGCTAGTGCCACCTATGCAGTGTCTTCCTACATTATGCAGAAATTCTAATTTTGGTCCAAGCAAAAGTTCAGTCATTTGTTCCTTTACTTAAAGAACTACTTTACTACAGCCAACTGGATATATGATGTTCTGTTTAAATTCAATATGTTTGAAAGATTCTCTAATGGATCTCTTTCCAGGTGACTCATATGTGTCATTGTTGATGACCCCAGTCAACACACCCTGGAACACAGCACCTCATTACACCACAGCCCCCATGTCTACATTTCAGCCAGGAGGCACTAGCAGCACTGGCTTGACACCAACAGGAGCTCCAAGAAAGCACAGTCCTACTCAAATGATAGAACTTAACATGATGAAGGCTTTGAGTAGTTCACAGATTGATCATGTCCAAGTATCTGACACTGGACTGCCGCAGCTGGTGGAGCCAGCGGGTGGAATGAAACTACTTGTCAGTGAACCTGTAACCCAGGTTGTGAATCAGGGGGCAGCAACTCATGAGACTTCTCCTTCTTCCGGTATGAGTGCTCAAGAAAACCCTGATGCTGTTCTGCCAGGGATAGAGACCCTGCTGACTGCTATTCAAGTTGTGGAGCGAGATGCCCCTGCTGCAAATGATCAACCTGCTACATTCAACAAGTTCACGCCTCTCAATTCTCCTGCCTCTCAGTGTGCAGAAGCAAGGTTAGTTTTGGTATTTGGCCAGTCATGCAGAAGCTCCTCTGTAGGAAAGTTTGCTTAACAGTGAACAGTGATTTCTCTGCAAACAATGTTTTATGATAGACATTATACAGTGATGTTTATGGCTGGTCGCCTGTCAGCTGTAAATAAACTTCATTCATATTTATTTTATTTTTGTAAACAGGGATTGGAAAATATATTGAAAAAGGAGATTTTTACAGTACAGAAGGTGGCGAGGAAACCTAGAGAAACTTAAAATAAAATTAGGCTTCCTGATATTTATATAGCTAGAATAAAAGGGTGTGGCCAGTCTTCCCTTAGTGTCCGTGAGTGGAATAATAGAACCGAGAGAACAAAATTGTGAAAATCTGAGATATCTACAACTAAGCTGTTTCGCTCGGCTTGACAGATGAGACCCAAAAAAGAACAGTTTTCTGTAGAAACTATAATTGTGTTCTTGAAAGCAAATCGTGGGTTTAGTTGCGCCGTCTTGAAAATTTACGATTGTTGGTTTTTCTTCCGTGTCTTTTTTTTTCCAGACCCAACAGTCGTACACGACGACGAAAAGGTCGTCGATCAACAGCTGGCTGCCCACATTCTGTTAAAGCAACAGTGTCGGACACCGAGTTAGAATCGCTGAATGATACCAAGAGTCCTATAGCGGCCAGTTTGGCTGGTGGGAAGCCATACTTCATGTCACTTGATAGCTACAGGGAGGCTATGGCTGATGACCCTAATGCTAACCCTGTGGATCGGCATAATTCTAAAGAAAGACACAGAAGGTAAGGTTTGATTAACATCACTGCACTTCATAGACTGTAAGGTTTCCCTCTAGACTTTCTGAAAGTTCATTCCAATATTTCTTCCCTGGTCTGTTGGTTTTGCCGCGCTTCGTTGCTCAAATATTGTCTTATTTCTTCGCTCGAGGCAGATGACTAAGCCGGCGAAGGATTAAGCAAAGGTCGACTTGTGCCAAGTCTAGTTTCCTTCTAGCGTCGTTCATTCGTATTCCATATTTTTGAAATCGGCTTCAAGTTTCTTTCTTTGCGTTTTGAATTGATCGCCATCCCCGAAAGAGAGCGGGGCGGCTCTCTCTGATTTGTTTTTCTTTCGGGAAGGAAGGCTGTATAAACGCAGGCTACCAGTTGATTGCCGGCTTGCATCAGTAAATCGAAATATGCACATGGGTGAGGGTTGGTGGACTGCATTTCAGTGTTAATTAAGGTCTTCCATGTTTTTTATTTAGTTCGGTTTTATCACCAAAGTTTTGCAGACTGGTTTGTTTCATCATATTATAACTTATCAACGAAACCATCAATATCTTGACCTCTTGTTAACAGGATACGTATCACCAAAGCAGCAGAGTTCTTCAAAGCGGTCATACCAGGTATGCACCCAGGTATGGACAAGGCCACAGCTTTCCACTTGACAGTCTACTACATGGTGTTCCTGCGAAATGCGCTGCGACAGCAGGATCCTCCAATTATTCCCAAACTACACGAGGTTTGTGTCATTGTCTGTACTGCAGCGGTTGTTCCGAGGGTGGGGAACACTATCCACCAGGCCCAGGTTGTTCGAAGACTGGATAACGCTATCCACCGGGTAAATCGCCATCCAGTGGATAAGTGTTAACAAAACAAACCACGCTATCCGCTGGATAGTGATTTATCCGGTGGATAGCGTTATCCATCTTTCGAACAACCGGGGCCAGATGGATCACCGAGTGGACAAGAGAGAGAGAGAGATAATATCCCTTGCAGGCCTTATTCCTAAAGTCATCCCTCTTTTTATATCACTCTCGGTTTTAGAAATCTCAGGAGGATCTTTAAGTAGCCAATCATGTGATGCGAATTTTACGCGAATTTTACAGCTCAAGTATTTTATCCTCCACTAAAACGTTACGCAACAGGCGTGGTTACATTATCCGCGTTGGAATTAGATACCATATGTAAAAATAACTTAAGAGGGATTACCTTGGAAATTATGCCTGTACGGCAATTAACTCTCTTACTCTCCATTCTCTCTTACTAATGGATACATGTTGGCAAAACCAACAACACTACTTACTGCACTGTGATTTTTCCCGTGGATAGCAACTGATGGCTGGTTTCGAGTTGCTTGCGTTGCTGCACGTTCCTCAGTATGTTAAGCTGTGATCGGTTCGGGCTCTAATGTCCAGTTCAATATTAGCAACTATCATTTCAATATTAGATTTTCGGTTTGTGGTATCCAGCATATAATCCAAGCGTTAAGGTGATGTCAGTTTTGAAAAAAATAGATACAACTAGCAGCAAAATGGTCTTTACCGTAACTGTGGAGATACAATACCACACATCCAAAATTTCGGTCAAAAAGGCAATCTTTCTCGAGGTCAGTTATAGTCAATAGGTTATAGATCATTCCCAGAGAGCATCTGTCAATGACCCGCGTCGTCAAGTGGAGAGAAAAAAACTCAGAAATAAAAATACTGATACCACCGTCGTCAACACTTATATACATATGACAGTTGGAGAGATATAATCAGCTTGCCGTAGTTAATGCCTCTTTTCCTAATTCTTTCATTGTATCTTGCAGACCTTTAAAGAAGAATGGGGTGAGGTGTTCAGCATGGAGGGTCCCCCAGAAACCGATGAAAATTAATTGATAACTCGTAGTGTTATTAGTTTTCGGCAAATACTTCGGTGTGAAGGTGCCGTAGACCTTCCGATTCGTTTTGTCCAGTCAGAAATCACCCGAGTTCGCCGAATGCTCTGACGAACACTCGTCGATTATAATTGACGTCAAGTCACGTCTTGTTCGCGTTTCCCTGGACTAGTGGATTTCAAGAAGTTAAGTCACGGATCGCGTACCTTGAAAATTGATCTTAATTCGTCTCAATCTAATCTTCCGAATTCTTAACAATCCTTGTCCCTGTTTGGCTTGCCATTGCTTTTTCGTTGTTTGTCGGTCTTAAATACTATTATTTTGAGGTTTGATTATACGCCTCAAAAATGACTTACCATGTCGTGACACAAAACGAAAAACGACAAAAAAAACACACACACACACACACCAAAAAAAAAAAACGAAAAACACACGCACACACACACACAAAAAACGAAAAACACAAAACGACACTCATTTTATGGGCTAAGGGTGCCATATTGAAATATGCCTGAGAAGATTGTGCTTTCCTAAAATAATTCTTGTTAACAGCCGTAAACGCTTCCATTCTGCAATGATATTGCTTGCACACTGTCAACAACAACAAGTATCAAATACTCGTGATAGAGTTTTTCTTTCTTTTATTTTTTCCAATTTGTCAGTAATTTGTTATCGATACCTCAAAGGTATCAAACTTGTTCTTTGTATATCGTTTAGAAATGTAAATAACAATTTTATTTAATATCGTTTGACCAAAATATTGTATTATAAATTATTTTATAAAAAATGATTATGAATTTTTACAAAAAAAAAAAATAAAAACATGTACAAGAATTAAATGAAGAAAGGTTCTTTCAACAAGTTGTGATTACCCTCTAGTTTCGTATTAATGTATTCTCTTTAAACTGTTTCGTGCCGAACACGACAGTCAAAAGCAAGTTGTGAACTAAAATAATTTGGTGTCGTAAGCTTGGCACATGTGGCAAAGTTGTGCCGTATTAATCGACTCGTAGCAACTATTCGCTAAATTTTTTGAACCAGTCGCAAGAGAAAGGGAGGAATATAGACGAGGTAAAAGAGAGAGGAGGAAAAGGGAAGGGTGTTAAGAAATCCTGTGTTTTCCCGTTTTCCATTTCCCTTCGTTCTTACTCTTAGGAGTTGCTCCAATTTTTAATCACGGTTATTCTTGCACGAAACGCCTACACTGCAGACGAGAATTAACTCTATACCACCCATAAAATGGAATCATAATTTCATTTCGTTTTTATCATAAGTTAAAACCAACCCAACCTCATTACTTCAAAAGTGTCCTAAAATCATCTATCGCCGTCATAAGCTCGTCACTGTCTCATTTTCAATGACGATTTTGGCGTCTTTCCTCAGGGTTACTCCCTCGCCCTTCGAAGACATCTTGCGCAATGATCTCAACACCACCGACGTCTTCCTTTTCTGCTGGCCTCTCCGTTTGGTTAGAGCCAGGCCTTCCATGTCATCCATCATTTGCTCCAGGAACGCCTGGTCATTAGTTTCCATGGGAACGACAGAGATGTCGCGCACCGCACGAAACTGGCCGCAGTTGTTGAGGTGCTCGTTCTCGAGACGAAAGAAGTTCCAAATAAAACGCCTGAAATCGCACAAAATACGAAATACTTAAGACTCGTCAAACTGGCGCTTATTTTCGGTTTCCGAAGCGACTAGCAGTATTTCTGCTCCACTAGGCATGGGATGCTAGTCCATCGCAGGGTTACCCCCACCCCCCTCACTAAAATTCGCTGGTACCCATTTATACACCTGGGTGAAGGCACCGAGGGAGTAAAGTGTCTTGCTCAAGAACAGAACACGTTGAAACAGGCCAGGGGGCCCGTTTCTCGAAAGCCCCAGAAACTTTTCAGGTCCGTAAAGCCTCTTTTAGTTCAACTGTATCTAAAATCGGAGAAGTGCATACGCCTGAAACTTCTTGTATGAAGGGAACTTCTGTTCATATTAAGAATATGTGAATAAAACAGCTCTGTAATCGCAAGGTTCGAGATTTTGCTATGGCTTTCCGGGCCCGAAAAGTTTCCGGGGCTTTCGAGAAACGGGCCCCTGGGCTCGAACTCGGACAGCTCGATCCTGAGTCCAGCGCGCTGACCATAAGGTCGCTCCCTCCTCCCCCGCCGCCAACCCCCAACGTAAATTGAGCGAGAGGCCAATCACTAGTTTCTCGACTAAGTTTAGTGAAACAAGAAAGTCAGAGTAACAGAGAAAGCAATTCGACCAAACATGAAAGAGAATATCTTACCTAAACACTTCGCACACTGATAAAATGAGTTTAAGAATCTCCGAATGAAATATTTCCAGTTCTCCTACAGAAACTGTCAAGGTCCATAGCAAACGGAAAATCAAGTCCTCGACCATAGCAAAGTAGTAAAATGCCTGGAAGGGAAAAGAGAGATTTTCAGCCATGATGGTTTTTCTCACTAAGATGATCGGATCATTCAATCTCGTAATGCTCACCATGTTTTGCAAGTCCCTAAATTACACTCGCCTAAAAGCTTGTGCAAGTTTGAGAAACTCTATAACATCACTTGTGCCCATAAACCGCGAACTGCACTTAAGCTTAGGTCAGGTGCCTTTCTACACAAACAGAGAGTTACGAGTTTATCTCTCGAAAGTTTCAATGTAATGTACCAATGTCTGCATTTTTTTAAATAAAGCTATAATTGAAAAAATGACTGAGTGACACACCGTGGATCTGTACACCGTCTCTTCCCTGAGAAATTTATTTTCGCCAGCGTTCTTGTCCAGTAGGCCCCAGTCCATCTTGATGTCCCAGGTGAAAGTGTAGCAAGTGCTGATGATGGCAGCTATGATCCACAACATGAAGTAACGATCTCGCCCTACCGAGTCTGATTTAGCTAGAAAATCAAAGCAACGAGTTATTTTACAAACCAAAGCGCCCAAAAAGGCGGAAATCTGTCTGTGTTCGCAGGCTATAAAGCGCCTTAATTATCTACGTTTTGCATTATTAATTAGTATGTCCGCCACGGCACACTAAATTCCCGGTACCAGTTATAAGTGATCCCGGGCCTCAATTTTAGATATAGGGTTTTGGGGATCAATACATTGTCCCCCCAAATTTACTGAAACAGCGGAAGACCTATGACTGGAAACTAGCGTGGCAAGTTCAAGGAAAGTCCCCCTTTGTTGTGAATGCAAACTAGGTTAATGTTCGGAAATCTTAGTTCCGCACTTCCGCGAAGATTTGCACCAAAAATACCCATTTTTTCCCGGTCTATAAAAGCGTATAATTATACCACATTTTAGTCCCTATTATATGGCAAGGTAGTCTTGAGGTAAATCCGAGCGTTCTGATTGGTTCCTTCTTAGTCGTGATTTTGCCACACATGGAAACGGTCATAAGCAGTGTATTTTTTTTGTTTTCGAAAGCCGGCAAATTCAATGGCCCGATCGCCATATAATAAACTTCTCACTAGTCTAGCTTGCTCGAGCCGCAAAGGGAAATACTGGCCCTGGGTCATTTTTCTCGGTCCGAACTACCACGAACTCGGCCCAATACTCCCCAGTAAGGCCCTCGTGCACGCTTAATGAGAGCTTAGTCATAACAGATAAAGAGAATGCCCTTACCGAGAGTGGAAAATGCTACTACGAAGAATGACGTAGAGTATTTGCCAGCGTTAACAAGATGTGGAAAAGCGTGTCTTGTGTCTTTATAACGCCTTAAACATTGAGCAAATCGGAACCATGCAGGAAGACAAGCAACAAAAGGACGGACGCCATATAATGTGCCATCACAGATCATGTCATTAGCTGTAATGAAACAACAGTGTTATGTTAAACTCAATGGCAGACATCTTTCGGGCCATTCCTACGCTTCTTTAACCTGACGAGTGAGCAGGGAGTGTGGGAATGACTGAGACTCTAAAAATGTCTACGAAGAAGGTAGCTGATCATGATATGGTTAAATGAAAAACAAGTTCAGGTAATTCCATCGAAATAGAACTCACCATAGATTTTCTTTCAAACTTTACCTGTTGGCTGCTTATATCAAGATGACTTAAAATTTGAAATAAAAAAGGGGGGTCCCCATATTCGTTTAGGAGCAGGAGGACCTTCAATAAATCCCATAGTTCCTGAAATTAACTGCTTTGAGAAACGTCTATAATTGAACTATTCACCTTACGCTTTAGAGAGTACAAAAATAGGGAGAAAGGTAAGCGAGAAATACAACAATGGATGTATTGCATCAATGTTACGGTGCAATTTGATGTACATTTCATGATAAAGGCACCCATATTTAGTCCACAGGGATACAATATGTTCCAAGCACGCAGTGTTCTGGGACCACATATTATCTTTTACGAGTGCTAGCTATGCTCTCCGTTTCCGTGATAATCTTTTACTCTGCAATAGAAATTGGTCCATATTCACTGTATAGAAAGAAGGTGATCTCTGCATTCAAACTAAATAAAAAAAAAACGTTAGGTCCAGGTACTCGTTTCCAACGCCAAGCCGTTTAGAAAAAGCCACCGTTTTGTTTATGTTTTGCACGTGCACGCGCTAATGACGCGAAAATCGCGCGCAGTAGAAATGAAATTGCACTCGCATTCATACGATTACGCATACAAACTTAACTGCCAGTTGTCGCTCTCTTCTTGTTTCAATGGGTACAGACGCAAAAAGACGCTGGCTCTAGCTTACAAAAAATTTCAAAGCATCACAATAGCTTTGTTGCTGTGAACGAAAGATGTCCTGGATCCTCTCGAAATCAAACTAAAAATATATTACAGTGGGTGTGCAATGGCATCCAGATGATATGGACAACATTACAAACTACTGCTGAATCATGCAGTCATAATCAGGATATGATATATGCAGAGAAAAGTACTCACCATTATTCACGTGCCAATCGTGTGCGTAGAAACAAATGATAAATTGTAAATCAAGGAGCGCTACTGCTAAACTGTTGAGTTGATCAGCAAGCCAGAAATCGGCAAATCCTACGTGTTGGAAGGGTGCGGTGAAGATTCGAAACTGAAAAGAACAAAAATCGCAATGAACCGACCATGCTCTAATGTTACGGCAACAATAGTAACTTACAGAACTTTCAAGAAAACTTACCAGAACTCTCAGAAGCCAGAATCGTGCTCTGTAGTAACATATTTTAAACGGATTGAGAGTAAACAGAAACAGGAACGACACTAAAACCAAGTTGGGAGAATAAGATTCTATTCCTAACAAGTGAGAAAACATGAACACCACAAGACTGATGGCCCACAGGACACCCAGCAACAATGCAACCTGAAATAGAACAAGGATACTGTGAGAAAAATGGGCAACGTCGTCTTTCTCATTGTGGTTTGGTGTATGGGACATATTTTTCAGATGCTTTTAGTGAGCTATAGACTGTTTAGTAGGTTAACTGTTAAGGCTATTTTAAACAGTGAGATTCTGCTCATTTAAACTTGGACCGAGATAAACTGCACTAATAACCGTAGAAAAGGAGAAGGCTCAGCTTGTGGTTGTATGGTTCATGATTTCACTGCCTCTGCTCCACTATTTGACAGGTCTGAGATTTCTTCTCCGGGTGATCGCCTTTAGATCGACGATGCAGGATGGAATATAGACTGCCTTATATCGTTCTTAAGTTGCCTCCCTTAAGCAAAAGTGTTGCATACTGAAATATTACACTCCCAAAAATTAAACAAAGAGGTAGAAGAGTGGAATATCAGGTTTTACCGCGACGAGAAGTGCGGCTCTTTGAAAATGGCTGAAAAAAGGCAGATGGGCTAGTGTAACATAAGATATAAAAAATTTTCTTACCTCTAGCAGGTGTTGGTAGCTAAGATGGTCACGTGGGTCGAGTTCAAATATAAGCACGTGATTAACACCTGCTTTACGCCAGCCCCAGGTGTTCACGGCCAGGAGAAACGTGACTAACACAAAGAGGAAAATCCCGCGGTAAATACGAATTGCGATGTCAAACTCTCCAGTGTGATCTGTAAAGAAAGCTGAATAGCAACACATAAAGTTAACAGAGAGAGGATAATGTCTCTATTGATGTAACATGTAACATTACAAATACAAGAAATGTATACAGACAAAGAATATTTATACTTTCAGGTCAGATGATTACTTTATTATTAATTGGACTGGGTAAAGTTTCTATATAATGGCTCTTTTTCAATCACAAAAGTAGTGCAAGCTTGCACAAGGTCATAGCCAGGGGGGTCCTGGGGTGCCTGCGACCCCCCCCCCCCTTTGTAAGTTTCCCTTTTTTAAGCAAACAGCGTACAACAGGTGGCAAAAACGTCATGCCAATCTGGTGAGTACCCTCACTTTGACATAGTGTGACCCCCCTTTGAAAAATCCTGGCTATGCCCCTGATGTTGTTTTAGTCTCTTGCTTGATGCTAATGCTTTTATTACTGCTTTGTTTCCATCCTATCAAGCAAGGAGGCTCCAANAATCCTGGCTACGCCCCTGTTGCAGAGCACCATACTGGGACACTGTTGGCCTCCAGTCTTTTCTGTGTGGATGTCGCAGTACTTGGTCTATGCTTTCAAGAGCTTGTGTTGACACTCTCCCAGTAAAGCCCTCACACTAAGCAAGATATATCAATAAGTGAGGGAGAGATTTGTCTTAGAGTGAGTTCATGTTTTATCAAAGATCTCCCAACAAAAGCTTACCAGTAACTGTAGCTATTGAAACAAGCATGAGGAACAGGCCAGCCAAGAATCCTACTCTACAAGAGACCCAGTTACCGTGCTATCAAGGAAGACAGAATGAGAAAACAACATCAGCTACTACAAGGCTAAGTATTTTCCAGAAGTTTTGAATATGACTTTAAGACTAAGTGGCAACACATACAATAGTAGATTATGCGTTGGGAACTTAAATCTGATCATGGACAACTCACCCTGAGTTCCTCTGCCAGTGGAGGTACTCGTAATCTATTCATAGCTCTTGAACGGTTCCCACCCTCAAGTTCAGAAATATACAAATCCTAAAAATTGAAATGTTTGTTAATGCAATATTTGAAAAATATGTCCCTGGGAAAAATGGTAATTTAAAGCACAAAATCTAATTAAGAATAACTTTTCACACACACCTCTGTATTTAGAATAAGCTCATCTACATGCTTGTTAACAAAAAAATCTGCCACTTCTATTTTTTCCTGTCTGTACTGGGCACCATTAGGGGTTTCATAGAGCTATTCAACAAAGAATCAGTACAATGTAATCAGTTTGTTTTCTAATAATAAAATAATGAACTTAATTCATCCTAGAGAATTCAGTTACTGTGTGATCACTTTTCATTAATATCAATCGAAGGGGTCTCATAAAGAGTTGTTTGCTTACATGTATATAAACCTGATTATCTTAAAATCAAGAAAAAATGATATATGAGATAAGTTGGTAACATATCTAGTTGATCATACTGGTTAACTAAACAATTATTATCACGGCTCATGAATATACCATCAATTTTTCCAGCAAAAAAAAGATGCAAAACCAAATTCAACATAGAAATAATAATAAATATGTGATTTGCTATGTACACAGTACCTTATCATGTTTCTTGAGAATTTTCCTAAATCCAGTAAAATTAAGTTGCTGAAAGGTGAACAATCAGTAAATAATCACATATGGCACATTTGTTCAGTTAATTATTATCACTTCCAAAGGAAAAGCTGAACTCAATCCCAGTAAAGTCCTGCTACAGAAAAACTGGACTTGTAAGTACTAAATGCACTGATGTTTGATTACACAATGCAGTCTCTACATGTAGGAATGGAACAGATCAGTTGTAATATTTTACCAGTACACTGTACTAAGCGACATTTGGGTCATTTTCTGATAGGCTTTAACAATTCATTGGGTTGGTAGATTCTTTCTTATTGACAAACATGGTTTGCTGGTTTATCAACTTTTTCATCTACCACCAAAGTTGCTTGAATGAAGTGGCTGAAGCTTTCCTTGTAAAAATATACATTATTAAATAACCTATATTCACCCTCGGCAATGTTGATGGCACAAAGGTTAGTGAGCTGAGGAAACAACTGAAACAAATAATTCAAATTAAACATAACATTGTTAAGAATCCCACCTGGCTGGAGGCAAACCAATTGACTATTTACAAGGGTGGCTGAGGATTTGAACTTGGGGCTACCACAAAACAAATCCAAGAAGTGGTCAGAGTGGAACTCAAACCCAGGGCCACTGGATTACAAGTCCGATGCGCTGACATCTCAGCCACATGGCCTCAACAGGATATCTTTTTAACAACTTATTCTTGAAACCATGATTGATAGAAATTTTAAACAAATCTTTTTGACTACCAAAAAGAAAAAATCTCAACCAGCCTAACCAACCCAACACTTTGAACAAAAACATAGCACCCAATTCAACCAACACAGGCTGCAGATGAAATGGTTGGTCCCAATTCCGAACATGACATAAACCTACCTGATAATTCTGTAGAAGAATTAAGCTAAGATAAAATTCTCCAAATGCAAACTTCAGCTGGTTGACTTTCTTCTTTGTTTTGACCTTGACCTTGTTGCTTGGTTCTGGAGACAGCGTCACTTTCCTTGATGTTGCCAGAGTGCTGAGACTGGGCCCTACCTTAAGGGAGCCAGCCACATGAAGTTCATTTTTTAGAGCTGTGAACTTTCGGCCAGCCTCAGCAATTTTTTCTGTAGGGGAGAGATGCAAAGATCAGTATGTTTCCATTAAGGAATTTGTAAATGTTAGTTTCTTATTTTAGAGCAGTTTTCAATTGAGTGTCGAAAGTAATCAGGCAATCACTTTGGTTTTGGTTTTACTAAGGTTTAAGATTGGCGGAGTAATCTTAACCTGGTAAGTAATAGCTTTGGTCTTAGTTTTATGACACTCAATTGAAAACCGCTCTAAATGACATTTTGGACTATTTGGTTCCAATCTCTAGGGGAAAGTATGACAAATAGGTGTGTTCAGTGTTTAATGGTAACATTTTTGGGGGGAGAGGGAATCCAAGTTCTAAGTGGGGTACTCTGTGAGTTTTACTACCAATAATCTTTATTTATGTCGTAATATTATATATAGCATTTTCATATTTCGTTTCACTTTATTAACAAGTAGTTTATTATACTTCAAATTAAGTTTACCTGCAAAGAATGTATTAATTTTTTCTAGTTCCTCATTACAGTAGCTAAACCACTGCTCCTCAAACTTGGAGAAATAACTCTGCACAATTGAGTCAGGATTTTCTGTAAAAGAACAGCAAATGATACATTCAGAACAATAGCAAGCACTTCTAACAAAGTAATCCATCAGTGATGTATTTATTTCTTTGCCTTTATCTTGATAATGAAAGTTCTTCTGAAAGACTCTTGAATACAAATGTGGTTGATGTGCATGAACAGTAAGCACTTAATGGCTGGCCCCAAGGGAAACACTCAGCTTTGTTTCCCTTGAGACCCTCAATGTTCCCCGAGGCGAAGTTGAGTGGGACATTGAGGGTCAAGGAGAAACAAAACTCACTGTTTCCTGTAGGGCCAGTCATTAAGTGTTCTTCTATACCTCCCACCTTAAAACTAGAACAAACTGCGAGAAAAATTATGTGCTTGATACTGGCTGGCACACAAATTTGCCACGGTTTTAAGGTGCATGACCTGATCACATGTGAATCAAATGTTTAAGTTTTTGTTTCCCGAGGGAAAAGTGAGTTTTGTTCGACCTAGGGAGTTAGTGAGTTTTAACCCACGACATGTGACACATTCTCTTCCAATTGGAAAATGTATTTGAGTTAGGTTGAGAGGTACAACAAATAGTCTTACTTCCAGTTACAGCCAAAGAACATGGCTGTGAGTTTTGTTACAACCCAGGTATCATATTAGTTTTAACTGTAAGCAAATATTATCAGACGGTGAGTCTTACCATCCTTTCGAGGCATCTTTTCCAGCCCATCATAAAGGACTTCTTTAAGTTGCTTGAGTTTGTAAAAATAAAACATAATTATATATTTCTTCCAATTTTTTTTTTCTGCATACATACATAAATTACACAGTAACCTGATAGGGCTTCAAACTATCTTTTTAATAAGGGTGATGTCAAACCAAAAGAAAAGAAGCCACCTATCATTAACCAGCAATGCGTTGTTTACTACTACAAATGTGGTTTGTGTGATGCAAACTATGTCGGGTATACGTGCCGACACCTCTATCAACACGTTGAGGAACACAAAGGATCGTCTTCAATTGGGAATCACATCAAAGGACAGCATGGAACAGTCCCAAGTGACATACATCGTGACTTTAAGATCTTGAGAAAGTGCCAAAGTAAATTTAACTGCCTGATCTATGAAATGTTCTTTATAAAGGAGCTTAAGCCAACCTTGAACAAACAGTCAGATTCAATCCATGCAAAGTTATTTATATAGGTTTTTTATAATATTTTATTATTTTAACACTTACATTTTAGCGCTTGTATTTACATAATTTATCATTTGACATTCTCACGCCCTAATTTGTACTTATATATGTATATTTCATTCCTTTTTTCTTCAACTTGAAAATGATCTCAGAGAGATCGAAACGTCGTTTTTTACCGCTAGTTTTTATTCTGAAAGGTGATGACATGGTCCTTCAAAACTATACATCAGGCATAATAATCAACAGTCAAATTTTGCAGGTTCCACTTTAAATTTTAAACTCATGGTCTTCATTTCTTTTTTAAAGCTAAGTATATCTAACTAAATATAGTCTAAGGTTTGCAAAGTCTCAAATTTATAATTCTACAGCCATTTAAATGCTCTGAACCATGACAGAAGTACATTTATCATTCACAAGAATGAAGAGTTAACACACTTCCGTGCACTGAAAGTTAGTAAAACCAGAACCCATGGAAAATGGGAACATTTATAGATAAGCTTCTAAGCCGTCGATTCTTACACATTATGAATTACGCACGAATTAATCTCCTGTCCGTGGGTCTAAATATAATTCCATCTTGTATGCAGACCGATTAACACTTTCGTTTAAGTTTATACAGTACAAGCTTAAATTGAAAAAACAAACAAACGCCCATCATCACGAGCCGCGAGCCTTTGTCGCGCTGTTAGAGTTCGTGATCGTTTACAAACTCAACCCAGTTGTCCTTAAAAAAGAATTAAAACTTACATATACTACTTAAATATTGTAATATATACCAAAGCCGGTGTGGAGAGACCGAGAAAAAGGAGACTAAAGTCTTGTTCTTTTTCTTTTCTAAGAAAAAGATTGAGCTCACTCGAGAAGTATTTCACAAGTCTTAGATCTTCACATTTATTGCAGTGTTGTTACCTCATAACGTATGTACTGGCTGCGCCATTCGGGTGTTAAGTGAGCGCCAAGATGCTCTGTAAACTTCATATCTCTCAATTTAAGTTGTCTAATCCATGGAGTGACCTATAAATGCGTTGGTAACGCCGGCATCCCAGACAAAACTCATCATTCATAACAAAGATGGCTGGCAACTATGCGCTTCCGGTCATTAGCAGACTGTTTCCCAGGTCCTTACGATCCAATTGTAGTCATGGAACTGGGCAAGAATTAGCTCTAAACCAAAATGGCGGCCATCTGGGCGCAAAATGCGATCCGTGATATTTTTCTTTCTTCCTCTTAAATATGTCATCATTAAAGTTTCTTTCAAATTGTCGATACATCGCGTCGCCATTTGCGAATGTACAAGATCTCTCTTGGAGGCTCCTTCTCAGGAAGCTTGGTGTTCATCTGTGCTTCACTAGTGTGGAGAAAACATTTGATAACCCTATCAAGACTATCAACATTGAAACAAATACACGAGACGATTTTTCCGGAATTTCAACGACGAAACGAGATGATCGGCCTTTGATCGTTCAGGTACGATATTTGGATAACTTCAATGCCTGTTCAGTTGCGAGAAGCACAGCGGCACCGTGAGTGTAAAGGAAGAGGGATAGGTCTGTGGATTGAACTTCCCCTTTCGGTACTTTTATTAAATTCAAAGGTCCCGCCAATTTTGTTCCGGGAAGGCATGATCGGTTTGGTCAGCACCAAGAATCGAGACTTCTGACTGAAATGGAAGCTACCATTAGTCGCAGCAGTTGCTCCATACACACGCTCAGAAACCATTGTTGAATTTGGACTTAATCAATTTCGTCCCCAGAACATACGCCTTTTGGTCAGCAGTGGCCGAGCACTCAATACTCAGGACAAAATTAAAAACTGGAACCAGAATTTTTGATATGGCACAGGTATTCAAGTTCAATAAATGGCTTCTGTAAAAGTGTAGATGGGCAGAGTAGCCGCTGCCAATGATGTTGCCTGACCTTGCGATATCTCCCAGAGGTCTCAATTCTTGGTACTATCCAAAAGGATCATGACCATTGGGACGAGGTTGGAACTTCTCCCAGTCCTGATTCCTGATACACTGGGAATCCAGAAACAATTTTTGTAAGAATGAAAAAAGTTGAAATAATAGGGACTATTACCATTCAAAAAGGTGCAGATTAGTTGCTGGGTATTGTCAAAAATATTTAGGTGGAATCCGGCATACCACATTCTCATGTTATAATTTTTGTTCGGCAGACTTCCTAGCCTCTTTACTTCTAGGGTTTCCATCCCTCACCTGCAAGTGTAGTGTTGATGTCCTGTCTAACATGTCTGTAACTCTATTTAACATTGATACTAGATTATGAGTTCGAGATTTCTATCACGTAACAGTTCATGAGGGCACAGCCCAAGTGAACTATCATGCATGGAAATTTTGAGCAAATAATCCAATTGTTTTAGTATAAATCTACTAGTCTTTCTAAACTTTATCTAAATCCTCTTCACAGGCACTGTGAAGTGGCCATCATTTTGTAAACAAGTACTCACTGCTACGCCACTCACTATCTGCAACAGAATATGTGTAGATAGTGAGTGGCGTGGCCAATCAGAGAATGCCAATCATAATAGGATGCTAGCAGATTTATACTAAAACTTGATAGAAACACAAACAAAAGGGATTAAAAATTAAAATTTTCATTTTTAATAGAGGGTTATCTATTAAAATAGTCTATTTTATTGACACATGAACACCAAAAGTTGAAATGCAATGCACTGTTGTAATAAGTTGTTTTCAGAAGACCCTGATACTCTTGTGGAGGCAGTAAATGGATTAGAAGACTTTTGTGATGCTGTGGACATCACATTTTATAACAGCTCCAGTCCCAACACGCTTCTAACTAATGGTCAACATCATGATAAATGGAACTCTTGGCTCAACTGCATTCAGAGAGTTCACCAAGAGTGTAAGGCACCTATTATGTGCAAGCTTCCCTTTGGTCAACAAGCAGTTGATGACACAATAAAGAAGGGAAGATCACTCCAAGAAGTGGGATGTGAGGTAAACTACTAGTCATTGTGTTAAGAGTATCAAAAAAAAATTAAAAATTTACTTAATAAAAAGCACTGACACCAATGGGCAAGGAATTGCACCTGTTTTGAATGCGAACTATGCTCACAAAACATTTAGCTTCTGGTAGTTTCTAAGATTATCCTCAGATTGAAGCAATGAATGTCTCTGTTTCCTTGATGTAAAAGTTTTCCCCAAGAAATGTACAGAACTGGAGAGTTCTTCAAACACATCATAGCTTGTCAATCCCCAATGTTTCGTGCATGTATAATGGTTCAGTTAGCACTAAATTCACATTTAAGCTCTGTGCCTTTGGATCTCAGACTGACGGTCTGAAGGTCTTTGTCTACGATATACATGTACATGTACATTGTATTTTGATGGTGTTGTTATTTTTTTTACTGATAATTGTTGTTCTAATTTTTTTTAAAGCTTCTGTTGCTCCATAAACCAAAACCAGAGAAGATGAATTCCATTGTTACAAGGAAGGATTGGGATTCAGTTAAGGCCATCCGGTAAGAAGGACAATTCTTTATGACCTCTTCAGTGGTCAATATTGTTGAACTCTCATACAGTGTGTGTAGAAATTTGGGAGTGGAGGCCAGGGGATAGTACTTTGGTTATTTTCTATCATTTTCTTGATATTCTTTATTCCTTTCAACCCCAGGTCTATACATTGAAGCCTGCATAGCAAGTGTTCCCATATGAGCCAAATGAGATTGGCTTGCATAAAAGAGCAAAAAGGTCAAAGGCCGTTTTTGCTCTTGCTCAACATTTTGCACATTCCAAATTACTCTTGCCCCAGGCTGATATATATTGTTAAGGGGTAATTAACTGCCATTTTGTGACATTGTTTTGTTTTCTACCTCTTACTTGCTTTCCTGCAGAGAGTCTGTTTCCCTGCCATTAATCCTTGACATTAGCTCATCCACTCTGTGGGAAATTGACAAATGTATAGAATACACTGGTGTTCATGGTGTGGCTGTGTCAGGTATTGATGTGATCTGAGTTCCATATGTGCACTGTGATACAAAGTTTGTAAAAGTTTTATACTGTTAGTAAGTGTTGTATTGTAAATCTATTGCAAGTAATGTACCATCAGTATTTGTATAGTAGTAATGTATTGGATTATTATGTTAATAAATGTACCATTAAAAAAAAGAAACTTTTTATATAAATGGATGCTTTGTCCTCTTGGTTACTCTTTCTGAAATTAAATGATGGAAACTTTAGACTGTAGAAACTAGAAGTCTTCTTAACTTTAAAAATTTATTATGCAACTTAATTCATTAGAAAGAGAGCTCCCTTTGGATTCCCTTGCAGCTAGAACTTTAATATTATTATTTAAGTTTGGGAAGTTTAATTACAAGGCAACATTTCCAGTTATCTGTCTGGTTGATGAATGTTTGAAATATTGTAAAGAAGGACAGTAATCTTTTCATGTCACAGATTTAATTGTTTGATTAGTTTTCTGTGTAGTACTTTCATTTACAATGAAATTTTTGTCTTTGGTTCAGATTCACCTGAAGCATTGATTTCACATGATACATAATTTCTAGGACTAGCAAGTAGTCTTCTTTTTTTAAAGAATCTTTAGAAGGAAACCCAGCACTATTCTGCAAGAAACAGCCGCCTGTTATAGACGTGGCCCATCAATACTTGGAGCTGTGTGGACTTCATCCAACACCTATTCCTAACATCAAACACCATCTCAATGGATTTTGTGGATACTTGTAAGAGAAATATATATCAGGGTTTATCAGTTTCACATTACTTTTCTATTGTTGATGAGTGTAGCTAACAATGTAGTGCTTTGAATATGATCCCATATGTTCAGGCTGAAGATTTTCTGCTGTTTTTGTTGTGACAATAATTTCTCTTCAGTCTTTCCAGGTTTCATAATCTGAGCACCAGCATTGAAAATATAGAAAACTTGGAGGACCTTTTACTCCTGGTTGGTGAACTCGAGAGAGAGATGTCATTGCTTTCTGTAAGTGAAGATTCACGTTGTCCATCTTTTAAAAAATAAAGCCATAATGCAGGCAATTGTTTTTCTAACCCAAATATAAACAGTCTCTATCTAACAGATACAAATTCTCTTAGAAACAAAACAGCAATTTTCCTAGATGATTCCAATAAGAAACCAGAACGCTGCAATTTTCAAACATTTTGCAAGTTTGTCGCAAGATTGAAGATTTGACATTATTATTAATAAGCTTAATTTTACAGTTTCTAATGAGAGCTGTACATTGTTCACTTGTCGATTTTCAGTCTTAATGCTTGATTTTCTCCCCTTTACCTCATTGTTACCCATTCCTGAGAGGATGTCAGTTACTGCATTAAAATGTTTGGGAGAAGACTTTTTTATTCTTATGACTGCTACCATTATTATTGCTCAACGGCTCTAGTTCCGTGGAAAAAGCCAACAAGTTAACTGAATTTAATTTCTTTAAGGTGGCTCAAAACGGTTTCCAGCACATAGATTTTGATGGGTCATTATAACCACTTTTTACCCCTTGATGCTACAATCGTGGTTTCGAAAAACTGCCCAATCATTGGTGAACACGTTGGAATCATTTTCGTGACACAATAGGTTACCATAGCAACAGTATGACTTGCTAAAAGCACTCTTAATTACAGCTTTAAGGGCTTATAATTCAAAATTATCGAATTTTGATAAGCATGATAGGACGCAACTTTTGGCAAAGTTTAAAAAAATTCTGTACATAGAATTCAGAGCCACCTTAAAGTTTTGAAAATTTAAGGTGGCTCTGAACCCTATGTCCTTTCACGTGCTTCTCGCCCTCAGGAGTTCGCGAGAGTATTTCCTCAGGATAACCCTTCAGTACAAAGTACCGTT